ACCCTATATATATATATATATATATATATATATATATATATATATATATAAACTAAAAACAATATCATAGATATTCTTATGTTTGTATATTTATTAATTGGGTAGTTGTTGGATGGTAATTAAATTTGATCTATTGTTTTAGTTAAAGTCCTGACTGTTATCTAAGAACTAGCCGATCCAGTTTAAACATTAAAATTTTATATCATCTACTATCCATTTTTAATTGGATATTCAATATAATTGAGGCGTTTAAATTGGATCAGAATATCGAATGAGGTTTCATACTTGAAAAAAGTTAGAATGATGAAAAAACAAAAACTAGTATATAAATATATATAAACCGGGCCTAATAGGTCCAGTTACCCGGCTCTAACTTGTCTTGACTCTCAATTATGGCCGTAAACGAACCGAACGTTCAGCGAATGGTTCGGTGGAAAGTTCGTTTATTTAATAAATGAACAAACATGAACAATTTTTTGTTGTTCGTTTAGTTAAACAAACGAACATGAACAAGAGTCTCGTTCGTTTATTTATGTTCGTGAATGTTCATTCATTTACGTTCGTTTATATTCGTTCGTTTATGTTCGTTTATATATTAAATTTAATATATAATATTTTATTTATTTAGTTTGAATTYAAATAATATTTATTTAAGTTTTAACTTTTTATAATTTATTCAGATTTAAATTTTATCATTATTATTTTGTCTTATTTGAAATTTTTATTTTTTCACTTTTCCTCTAAAACCCTAGCCTCCAGATAATTTGTGCTTAATAGTTAATTGAATGACAAGTAATGATGTTCGTTTAGGTCTGTTCGTTTACGTTCGTTTACACTCGTTTAGCATGTCAATGAACGAACATGAACGAACATAAATGAACATAAATGAACTCTGAAATTGATCGGTGATCTAGAGTTTTTTTGCCCTATCAGAGGTCTTTTAGAACCGGGTTCTCGCTGTTCGTCTGAACTCTGAAATTGATAAATGGGGCCCCGAGTCCGACATCATACCTAGGGATGGCAATGGGGCGGGGATGGGGCGGGGACCTCAATACCCGTCCCCGTCCCCGATCCCCCGTATGTGTCCCCGTCCCCATCCCCATCCCCGCCGGGGATTATGATCACATCCCCATCCCCGTCCCCAACGGGGAAACGGGGATTTTTTTTAAAAACAAAAAATTATTGAAATACACTAATATTAAT